GGGAATTGAGCAATATAATTAAGAGAAAGTATTTGAGTTATTTTTCACATGGTCAAGGGAGCAAGTAGGTTTTTGTAAAATGATCCATATTGTGAAATCTATCAAGAGTTAAATGCATGAAAGATATTTAGATAGAGAAGATGAAAGGAAAATTGTTGGGCTAGAAAGAAAAATATCTATCATATGCAGGGAAGATCACTTCTGAAGATAAAATGGTTTAGACCTCCACACGAATATACAGCATCTGATTGCTACTCTCTCTTATAGGATGTCCCACAACCATCGAACTATGCCTATGCTTTTTGACTCTGTTACCTGGAGCTCTTTTTGGAAGGAAAAATTTCTTCCTTGTATGGTTATAGCTTTAACAGAAGTTGGGTAATTTGTCAAAGAGGTCTCTGAAGATTAATGGCTACTGTCGGGTTTGTGAATCTGAAATTGTGACAATGGAATACATGTTTTTTCCATGTAAGGTGGCGAGGTTGGCAGTATCGAGACATGATAACCAGTAGATAGAAGTGCAAGGTAAGAGTCAAATGTTGATGGGTCTTTCAGATTGGTGGGATTGGCATTGCCCTTCAAAACAGTAGCCAGTTTTCCTACTTTGATCCAAGGCAGTTCACATTTGGGAGTTGATTGAAGCGTTTGGTATTTCTTGATGGGATGAAGTTTTCTTTGGGTTTGGGAGTTTGATTCTTCCATAATTCTAGAGGGAGTTGGTTTTATCATTGTAAACTTTCTATATATTGGAGGAAAATTACACCTCTCTATGGCGAACTTCTTTCTTTCTTTCTTTTTTCTTTTTCATGGAGCTACATAGTGATGGGTAGTTCATCCCCCAAACCCATAACTAGGAGTGTCAGTTGGACTGGATTTGGTCCAATCCAATCCAGTCCAATGTGAGTTTATTATAAATGGACCAGGTCCAATCCAATCCAATGAATGTTTTAGACCAATTTGGACCAGTCCAATTCAATATCTGGACCATCTAATCTGTTCAAATTCATTTTGATTTAGATTGGTTTCAACCCAAACCTGGTCCATTGACACATGTATTCTTATGTTATATCAATGGACCTGATATTGGCTTAATCCAATCCAATCCAATATAAATTTGATACAGACAGACCAGGTCCAATCCAATCTAATAAATATTTTGGACCGGATTGGTAATCCAATATGTCTTGTTGGTCCACCCAAATTAATTTTGGACTAGACAGGGTCCAATCCAAAACCAATCCATTGACACCCTCACCAATAACTCCCCAACTCTAATACAAGTAGAATTTGATCCCTCATCTTCGCTACAACCAGCTGGAGACCTTGCCAACTAGCCAATTGGCACTTGTGTGGTGAATTTCTTCTACTGTTGTCAATTGCAAGCTATTGTGTCAAGATTCTCCCATTGTTCAGGGAATGAAGCAGCTCATAAGATTGATTGATAGTGGATTGTTTTACTTGGTTTTCATGTCATCTTTTCCTTGAATCCATAGCTACTTCTTACATTTATATTATTATAAAGGGGATACTTGCCTTGAATTTGGTGACTTTAATCATATAACATTAATGAATTGTCATTCTTTTGTTTTAAAAAAAGAAAACAAAAATTTCTGGATAGGCCAGAAGCTTAATGATTAATTGCATGGATTATATGGAGGAATATGTAACTCAGAGACTCCATTAAGTGCTCGTTTGGGAGAGCTGATACTCAGCCGTTTATCGCTTTTCAAGGTGGGCCTCACAAGGACAGCCGATAACTTATGCTTTCTTGAAAATTCAGGAGAATCCAAATTGCCTGTCAGTCAGTCGTTTGAAGGGCTGTTCAGTTCGAATTTCTTTGAATAGCTTATATGGAGTGCTTCAAAGTAGCTGAACCAGTTTATCTGAATCTTCAACTCAGACCTCCCAAACAGTTCCTAATTTTGATTGGTCAAAGCTCGGCCGATATCATATTTTCCGACATCATAAATTTTCCTTAAAGTGAAAGGAAAAAAAAGAACGATTTCCTAAAAATTGCTATTTGTCTTGCTTGGTTGCTGTAAAATCTACCACCCAAAATCTCAAAACCAGATTGTGGGTGAATACCGTGACTCCACATCTGGATTATAGAATTTTCTGTATATCCGATTCGAGTCCGATATTTTGGATTTGGATTGTCAATGATCAGATCAGATTTGGATGTTAATGATTCCAGTCTAATCCGACCCGATCAATTACAGCCCTACATAGAATCTAAACCAAATTCTTTCAACACTGATTTCAGTATAAGTGGCTGAACTGAAAGTCTTATTCCCTTTTCTTTTATTGAATAAGTTTTCAAGGAGGTTGATTCCTCAATGGCTGGAATTAAAGTTGAGTAAATTACTATCTATTGGGAAAATTGGAGTTATAAAATTTGGAGAAGCTCTAAAATGTATTTAAAGTCATTGTCTTTAGAATGTTATTTGCCCCCACTCAGTTTTATTGAGTTTGTTGTTAATTTACAGGCAAATTCATTCCTATGATACAACAGAGCTTTGGGTGAAAAAATACAACCAGCAAAGTTGAAAAATCTCCAGAGAAACCTTATATAAGATAGAAATAGATTGAATTGAACTGAGAGAGACAACAGTGATTTCAGTGAGATGTGACATGAAAAACTTGTATATTCGTCTTTGTATGCATCCCTTTGATCTTAGAGAGTCATCACCAAGAGAAATGTGTTGGTTTGAAGAATCCCTTTGCATAGTCACTAAAACTTTGTGACTTAATAGTTAGTGGCTGTTAACTTTTAAATACTGCCCCTTGATCATACCCAATCAAATCATGGCAATTGGATTAACTTAAAACATCAATGGCCATGGTTCAACCTTTAAACCAAACACACCCCTGTGATTTGCAATTTTGCAAATTACAAAATTTGTTATCTGCAATTTTGCAAATGTAGTCTTTGGTTTGTTTCTTCACATCAAATGTTATTGCACCAAAAAATTAACTCTGCTTCTCGTGAACCACACAAGTGTGAGAAAAATGGACCTCTAAAACATCTCATTGCACCACATACGTGCAAGCGCATTACACCGTGGGACAAAGTTTGAAAGAAGAAAACAAGTAAAACAGAGTTTTATTGGGAATTTCAAAACTAGTTTTCAAGGTGCATGTCAAGTGTGTTTTTCCATGTAAGTTATCAATCAAACCCCATCTAGAGATTAAGGTTCAACACTATTTACTTGAATCTTTTATTGTTTAATTATTTTATCCATATAAGATGAAACAATAAGCCGTTTATTTCAGCAACTTCAACTTCTATCAAGTGGATCCTTTTAACAGCAAATCTATGCCCGTTCTCAACTTAGACAAAGGTTAGCTTTGGTTGCTACTATTTTTCTTTTCCTCACATGACATCAAGTGCTCGTTTGGAAAGGCTTTTCACACAGCAGTTTCTCATGTTGCAAGTAGGCACCACATAGAAAGCCCTCAAGTAGGGGTGTAATTTGAGCAATCTCAGGTTGGTCTTTTCTCTTTTGTCCAAATTTGAATGGGCCCATCCCGAAGGTCCAAGCCCAAAATGAACCCGGATCTCCTGCCCACATCTATCACAGCCACACATGGAGAACATCTCATCCTCTGCATAGTATTATGCAGGGGAGATGTTCCCAATTCACAGGGGGTGGTGTGTTGTAGGTAGGCATGGGCAGGGTTCTTGTGGGCAGGAGATCCGGAGTCGCCCGAAACAGTGTAACTAACTCAGGCCAACCCAAGTTGCATCCCTACCCTAGCCATGTTTGGTGAAAACACAGAAAGCCAAAAATGCACATTCATAAGCTGAATCTGAAGAGGCTCAAGCAATGCAGCTCAGCAAGCAACAGTGAAGCCCTCCCAAATGGGCCATGGACAGCATCCCCAACTCTCAATCATAAGCATTTAAGAGGTAGGTGTTAGAAATGGCAATTTCTACCTTATCCAGTGGGTACCTGCCCCTACCCTTCCTGACGGGGTGGGTTTTTTACTTGAAGAATGGGTTTGTAGCGGGATAGATTTTGGGATACTACAACCTGTATAGCTATGGGTTGGGTTTGGTATTAAGCTAAACCCGACCCACATATTGCTTTTTATATGCCTTAATCAAATAATTGGAAAATTTGTTATTTTTTTGTGTTATATTACTTATTTATTACTTATATATGACAAGAAATAATAGGAAATTAGATGCAGGTTCGAAACCCAACCTACCCCTACCCTTGAACGTGGGGAGGGTAAGGTTGGGAGGGTTTTTCATTTTCATGTGCAGGGAGGATTTGGATTTTCAAAATCTAACCCGCTACAGGTTTTGGGGTGGATATGAGTTGAGAGATTTAGAGAGGTGGGTAGGGTCTAGAATTTACAACCCCCCCCCCCCCTAAACCTACGCCGTTGCCATCCCTAATAGGTATCAATGCATAATTTTTCTAAAGTTAGTAGAACCCACCCTAAATTTAGGGGATAAAGTGTTGCATACATATCTCAAACCAGAAAGTGAAGGAATTCAATTACTAAGAAAAACAAGTTGATTAAGCCAAATACCAATCCTTGAAATAAGAGAAAAAATTGGAATACATGCTCTAAACTCCTCTTGTAGAGACCGATGCTTTATTATTTACATCTCCAAAGTCTACTGCTTTTGTACAAGAAACAAATTAATGACAACAGTCACAAAACTAAGAGGAAAATGATAAAATACCATACAATATTTACAAAAAAAAAAACACTTAAAATTGAACTTTGCATGGTTGGAAAATGTTAAGAAAAAAAAAATAGTTACAAGATTGAGAGGAAAACGAAAATGTTTAAAACATTTGAGGTGGGGATTCAAAAAAAAAATACAAATGAAAATGGAAAAAAAAATAGCATACAAGATTTACAAAAGCAAAAAACTCAAATTGACTTTTCATGGGAAAAAAATGTCAAGGGGAAGAAAAATATTTTTAAGGGTTTTGGATGAGTATAAATTGGAGGCAAACTCTTTCTCAACTGTGAAACTTTCAAAAGTATGGTAGAGAGTATCCTTTGAGCATTCTATATTCTAAAATCCCTCTATAGAGAGCCAGCCTGTTAAGTGGCATGTTCTCTAATTCTCCAACAGGATTCCACTTTAGGATGCCATGCCTTGCTGGAAAATGGTTGGTTTTCGCTGGATTTCTCGAATGTTGTCGTCGGTATTCTTTGTTGTTGGATGATGGCTCCACCACATCCTCTGCAAATCGAACTCTCTTCTTGGCTTGACCATGACATCTCCCATGTCCATGTCCATGTCCTGCAAATTTTAAAACAATAGAGAGAGAGAAAGAGAGAGAGAGAGATGAAAAATATCTCAATGAGAAACAAAAGATAGCCAAGACCCACCAACAACCAAATTCTAATATAACATTTTCTTAAAAACCCATTAAAATTCAACCATAGAAATGAATTTATTTATCATCTCTACAACCCCAAATTTCAAAAAAAAAAGCTTAAACCAATCTTTTTAATTAGAAAAATGAATGAATGAAAGTGATACCACGTAATTCTAGTTCAGCCTTTTTCATAAATTCTGAAAGAAGACGCTTATGCAATTGGAAAACAATGAGAACTACACTTCCTGAAACTGCAAAAGCTGCCATGAATCCCAGTCCTGTAACACTCACCATCTCTTTATCCATCTTTCTCTGCTATTTCCTTTCTTCAAACCCAGACCCAATTTCAATCTTCAATTCAAATATCCAAACACTCCTCTTTAAAGAAAACACAACGACGAAAGCAACAAATGTTCACACATCAATCCATTATTGAGGGGAGGGTTCATATATCTTCTCATCTTCTCTTATGCCTATTGACTTCTTTGGACCTCTAATCGATTTTTAGACTCTCTCTTTGTAACCAACTAATCTCTTTCTTAATCAGAATGACCCTTATGCGCTTGTAATTCTAAGAATTGACCTCCTTTCCAATGGTCAGTAGCCAACGGAGGGGTACAAGCCAGAAGTGAGTTAAACAAGAGGAAGGGTATTTTTGGTAACTGACAAATGATCTAGTTAATTTAGGCAAAATAGAACCCAAAACGCATAATCGTAAACCAAAAACAAGACTCCCAACCGCTCCTCCTTCTAGAAGCCATTTCAATCTCCAACTACCTACCCTCCTTAAAAGAAGTGTTTATTTTTCCACGTGGACATGCGGCTCAGATGGTTGCAATAGGATCAACAAACTAGCTTTGTAGGGTAACGTGTGTTCGGCAATGCACGTGAAGGAAACAAATCAGGATCTGCCACACAGTTTCTGTAATCACCAATTAGATACAACGGTTTTTGGACATAACACATTGATTTCTAGCGATTGTGTTCAACAATTACATGTAGAAGATGGGACTAAACCCAGGATAAGTGGATAATTTACACCAACAAGAGAGAATTCCTCACATCTCTTACATCTATGCATTGGGAATCAAGGATTTTACATGATTAAAGTCTAAATTCAACCAGACAACATAATGGGTAAGGTAGAAAAAAAATGATATCACTGTTTTTCTTTTTGTCAAGATCGGGGAAGTCTGAATTCATAGTTTTTTTTTAATTAAGAAATGGTTCATAGGTTCATGTTTCCAAAAAAAAGTCTTGGTAAAAGAACTATTTTTTAACTTCAACCTCTCATTCCAATAAAATAGGTATCCCACTTTTAAAAAAATATTTAAAATAAAAAGATATATATATATATATATATATATATATATATATATATATATAATCACTTCATATCCATGTCCTCGTCTCATTTCCACCAAGGCAGCCCCTACCTTTGACCTAAAGTTGAAAGTATCGGAAATATCAAGTGTATCAGAAAGGCAATTTTAAGAGATGTATCAGAATATACCTTGATACGTATGTGTATCAGAAAAAAAATAAGATACACATAGATATGCATAGAAACACTATAAATAATTCAAGAAGTCATAAAAAATACATCAATAACACTAAATATAAGGCCTCAATGAGGTGTACATATATTAAATTAATATATTATAATGGTTTTTATGTAAATATACATCATAGTTAATTATATTTTCATTAAAAAACCCTATGCTTAACTACAATTTATAAATTATACATCATAGTTAATTATATCCAATCATAAAACATTCATTTGCATAATCTCTAATTGCAAATATAATTAATAATTATTTCTTTTTAAATAATTATTATTTAGTTTTTTCAAAAATTATAAAAATCAAAATAAATAAGCATTACATAATATAAAGAAATTTCAATTACTCTATGGATATTATTTTCAATAAATAAACATTACATAATATATTAAAAATTAATTATTAATTATTTTTAATTCTAAAAATATAAGAAAATTAAACACATTATTAAAAAAGAAATTGAAATTGCTCTATAGATATGATAGATAATCCATAGATCTAAAACATAATAAGTCTTTCTAAGCAAATAAAAATATGTTTCCAATTTTTTTGTAATTTTATATTTTTTCCAAATCTCTTCATAAAATTTTCATAAATCTACTCATAACACATAAAATGTGATTCTAAACATATTTAATGTAGGTCATCATTTATTTGAATATTTTTCAAGCATTCAACGAAAAAATCATAAGATATTATGAAAATTTGAAAAAAATTACCTATTTTTGTAATATTTTTCAAAACTTTAAAAAAATTCAAAAGCATTGATGATTCACACGTATTTTTCTGCATATCTAGCACTTTATAAATGAGATTTGGAATTTTAGAGCCATTTGAGGGTGAAAGAAGGTTTGTTTCAAGGGAAAGAAGTTTTTTCCCCTTTTGTTTTTTTTTCCGTTTTTTGCCTATATCTTTTTTGTAGCATATATTGATACACCCGATACACTCCCCGATACACCTCTTATACAACCCGATACGGGTCTAATACAGTGGAAAAAAGACAATACCAATGATTTTCCATCGTATCTTGTATAGGAATTTGAAAGATACAATATGATATACCCCATATTGGGTACATCATGTCGAAATTTGAACCCTAATATAACCTTATTGGGTTGGGGAGGTTGGGTACATAGTGAGGAACATGATACTTGGAAGGCTTTGATTATTACATTTATTAGTACTAGTTCATTGGTTATAACAAGTTTTTTTAGGCATATCGTCTTTTCTGTATCATAATCGAATCCAAGTGTATATTTTTAATATTATCATTATCATTATAATAAAATATTAACTCCCATTAACATTTATTTAATCGTATTATTGAGTATAGTATTCCTATTTTTGAATTTTGTTTTTCTCGTGAGGTCATAAAATATAATTTGAACCACTACATTTCTCCTTATTCAATAACCTCTCATTGAGTCTTACATTTAGGTTATTAACTCATATTCTTTCATTGAATCCTATATTAATTATCCATATTAAAAAAATAAGTGTAACAAAAATTAATTGTTTTATTGACGATCAGAGTAAAATACAAGTTTAAAACCAAACAAAAAATGAAGTTGTTTTCTATTTGGTGGCAAGTCAACATTTCAACATTTTTGGTCAAAATGCATTAACCCTTGATAGCATAGTTAAATAATAATAGTAATAATAATAATAATAATAATAATAATAATAATAATAATAATAATAATAATTGAAAAGATGAAAACACATAAATGTATAAAATACAAAAAATTATAGAAAACATTTGGACACTTTTCTAATATCATATATTCATTTGTTAAACAAAAATAAGTGTGAAAAATAAGAATAATATTTTAAAACATAGAAATATAAAATAATTATAAAAAAATTGAAAACATATTATTTACTATCATCATCATCATAAAAAATTGCCTTGTGCAAAGCACATGAGCATGTAGATGCTATGATGTGCATGTGCAAAACTTGCCAATGATCTAAAATGTCAAATCCATTGTTAAATTATGAATTTTAGGGCAGATTTCTTAAACTACCCTTATGGTTTAGCTAATTGACTAACTCTACCCTTATGGTTTAGCTACTTTTGCAAATCCCTATGCATACAGATTTGCATAATAGGGGAAATGCTGAAGTTGTGCCTATGTGGCAGCATTTATTCAATAAACGCCTACGATTCCAAACCTACGCAATATGTAAACAATAAGGGTAGAGTTAGTCAATTAGCTAAACACTAATGATAGTTTAAGAAATTTTCCCATACTTAAATGTATATGTATATGCATATGTACATTTTTTTTGGCAAATGCTACGATGAACCAATCTAAAGGTGGGACATCACATGTGACATCTTCAACTGTTCAACATTTTTAATGTATTTAATGTAAACCAATTAAAAGTGTGGAATATTTAATGTGATTGCTTCACGGTGCAGTTTTTGCATTGCAATCACTCTCATTTATTCTTATCACTTTGAACCATGTCTTTTGGGCCTGCCCCTAGTCCTTCTAACCCTTCAACTTGTAACTGGTCATTTTTTCTTATAGGTGGTTTAGGTGATCTTAGACCAAATGTCCTTTTAGTCTACCCCTAGTTCTTCTATGCCTTCAACTTATGAATGATCATTTTTAATTTCTTCCAGGTGTTGTAGGTGGTTCTAAATTGAATCATCTAAGTCTATTTTTTCTCATTTTACCTATGAAACTACTCATAAATTCCTTTGAAGTATTTCATTTTTAACCCTATTCTTTTCTATTTTTTCCGCCCATCCTTGGATATGCATTCTACAACACTCATTTTTTGGTCATGTTTCTTTATTGTCCAACACTTTGTTTCGTAAAATATTGCTGGCCTTACAACTATTTTATAGAATTTCCTTTAATCTATTCTCACCACATAAAAATCCAAATGCACCTCTTCATTTTGCCCATCCTTCTCTAATTTTATGAGCAAAATCAACCTCAATCTCCCCCTTGTTATTAATTACTGAATGAGGGTATCAAAAATTAATTAAATGTTGTATTGAGTTATCCATTAATAAAGTTGGTTTGAATGTAATATTTTAGGGTAAATCTATGATTCCAAAAGGTATGATACTGGAAGAGCTTTGACCAATCAGAACCCTCTCATGAATTTTGATGAATACCACTAATTGGTTACCACTTTTATTTTTCCGATATCATGTATTATGGGCATCATAGTCAAACTCTTTAATTGAAGAGTCACTAATTCAAGTTTAATAAAAGTTTATATTAAATATTTTGTTCACAATATACAGAATTAAGTAATGTCATGTTAGTTCATTTTAATAATAATTTTGTAATTTTTAATTTATCAATACTATTTCATAATTTCCAAATGCATTTTAATTTGATTTGAATCGTATTACTCTAATGGATAATACTCAGGGGTTGTAAAGGAGAAGGCTACCTCTTTTGAAGCTATGGAGATATAACGGTTGTTTCAGCTGCATTGCTCTAAGTCTAGACATATGGTAAAATTTCGAAAATCAAATATGAATATAAATGAATGAAATTTGAATGGCTTTATATCCAATTCCATCCAATCCATTTACAGAGCTAGAGGATCTGTTTAGAGAGTCAATATCTCCTACACTTTTTTTCTTACATTAGAGCACTTGTCACAAACTCAATGGAACCATGTAAGTGTGTAGGAAAATTTGGAGATCCTAATAAGACTTTTTGGAAGTGAAATGTGATTGACAGGTTCAAAGACAATAGTGAGATACAC